TTTTTTCCTGTTTTTCTTTGGCCTGCCCAGCTGTTTGGTGAACACTGGTGGAAATACCTTGTATCCTGGCTGCACCTCCCAGTATTTAGGGTCTCTTAGAGGGACCAGTGTGTAGCCATATGCTTTCAAATAATTCTCCATAGTGTAGCAGTCATGAACCATTAACTCTGGGTCAATTCTTTCTTCCCTACAACATGCTATGGAATGGCCACAAGGCACACCAGATAACTGCCATCTCCTGCAATCACATGTATGCAAACACAAGTCCGCTGAGTAGCTAGAATTTCCAGACTGAACTCTGAATTTCTGTTGGCCAGCTTCTGAAACATGACAATTTGCAGCAAATTCAGTGTTCTTGTCTAACTTCTTCTTGATCTTTGGGCATATTCTCTGCCCTGCCCACTTTTCTATTGCCTCTCTTTGTTTGCTCACAAGCCTTTGCATGATTTTGTAGAATATATATTCAAGCATTGACAACACTGCCATCTCTCTGCCATCAAGGATATAACTGTTAAACACTTCAGAATTATTGTTCAGTAGAATGTCACATTTGGGAAATTCACTGAAAAATGCTTTACACCAAGTCTTTGGATCAAGTCTTTCAGTCCAATGAAATGCAGCTGAACTATCTGCATCCATTTTCTCACAGTTCTGGCTCCACTTCACTTTGTTCGGTGATCTTGCAATGGCCCACAGGTCTTGCTTCAGCAACTCTCCCTTGTGCTTCTCATTGAAATTCTGATAGATATGCCTCACACAAAACCTATGCTCTGCATCTGGCCACACTTTCTGCACAACATTTATCAATCCCTTTTGCTTGTCACTCATCATTGTGAAAGGAGCAGTGTTAGTGATGTTTAGATCATCTCTCAAAGTTGTCAGAAACCATTCCCAGGATCCTATGCATTCTACTTCCACCCAACCCATTGCAATGGGGAAAATGCAGTCATTTGGATCAATTCCAACAGCACTAAGCAAAACTCCTTTGAACCTTGTTTTCATGTGACATCCATCAATGAAAATGATAGGCCTGCACCCCTTTAACCAACCTCTTTTACATGCATCATAAGACCAATACAGTGTCTTCAGACACTTCCTGCCCATTGGAAATTTTGGGTCTTTCTTCAGCTCAGTTGATAACAGAAATGTAGAGCCAGGGTTTGTACTCCTTAATTCATGACCATAGTCCCATAGCCTACTGAACTGATGTTCTTCATCTCCATGGATCTCTTTCTGGGCTGCAGTTCTAGCCCTTGCTAGCTTCCATCTGTTAGGGGTCACATTGAATGCCTTGGCGATCTTTCTTGAAAATGTACCAAGTGACATTTTCTGGTCATCCCTGAACTCATCTATGAAATACTGACACAGAAACTTAGCTGTCATCTGCCTTATCTTCCATTTCTTCTGACAAATGTGCTCTCCATGGTAAGCCTTGATTACAAATCCACCTGTCCTGTTGTCCTTCCCAGCTTTTAGCCACCATGGGCATCCTCTTTCACAAACAGCCTCCATTCTAGTTTTGTCATTCTTTAACTTCTTGATCTGAACTCTGTTCTTAACAGAATATGTTGTAATAGCAAGTCTAAGCTCCTTCACATCAGCAAAGACCATCCCAACTTTGAAGGCAGGGGCACCATGTCCACCTTTGAATTGAAGGCAGTAAACTTGTACCTCAACTGCTCTGCTTCCTCAATGGGCAAATTGAGATCTTCATCATCAAGCAAATAGTCATCTACCTCCACATCATCCTCTTCTTCCTGAGCTTCTTCATCAACATCAAAGTCAATGTTGTCATCATATAGATCATCATCCCCCTCATCTATGTCATAATCACTGTCACTGAAATCTGATTCAGAAACAACTATATCTTCAACTACTGTTACTGCATCTTCAGTAAGCAGATTGTGATCTACACCTTGTATAACCAAGCTTTCAGGTTCTGTTCCAGTTGCAGGAAACTCTAAAATTGGCTCATCTTCATTGACAGAAATTACTGACTGGTGGAAAGATGCTTCACTTGCAGTGTGCATTGATGGCAATGTGCATATGGATTCAGCCCTGAAATTGCTGATGAAATCTGCATGGTCAACCATAATAGCCAGCACTTTATGATCAACACTAGCTCTGATGATGTGTTGCACATCATCATCAGATTTAATTCTAACCAAACCATCTGCAATTGATTTGTCAGGCAAGCACCAGTAAAGTATGTGCTCACCCACTGGATATCCCAACCAAGTTAGGTGCTCTTCAAGGAAAGAATATGAGAATGTGTTGGCATCAACATAATCAAGAACTTCCACTGAAGGGTTCCAGTACTCCAAATTAGTGATTGGGCCACAGGAAAGTCCACCATGCTCAAGTTCAAGTGTAAAGAAAGAAGTGTCCACCCTTTGTCCATTTGCTAAATCACACACTGCATCAAAGATGTGTAATTTGTAAGCATTGCAAAATGATGTATAAACTTAACATTAAAATTCAGTTAGCTCAGAAGTTCAGTTAGATAAGATGTTCAGTTAAGTACAGTGCACCGAAAACATTATGAATAAGTACAGTGTACTGAAAACATTCTGAATAACTACGGTTCAATGACAAAATTCAGATAACTACAGTTAACTGACAAAATTCAGATAACTACAGTTAACTGAATAAATTCAGTCATAGTCCGGTCAAACCATAACTACAGATAACTACAGAACAACTCTAACATATGAAAGAGAAAGAACGAACCACTTGTCAGGCCAAACCATACACTTTGCGAGGCTAAAACCTAACCTAATCTACTCGGCCTAAACCCACTACGCAAAAATCCTAGCTTTACTGCCCTAAGAGAAAACAAACGGCATTCAACAAGCACGCCACCGTGAGACAAACAGACGCGGCGGGGCTGATGCCGACGATGACGACACACTGGCGACGAGGAAACAGAGCACGGGCGGAAGAACAAGGAAGAGGGGGAAGAGGGCACAAGAGCTCACCATAGTCCGGTGGGATGACGGCGAACGGGCGGATGAGATGAGCGGAAGAAGGTGGCTCAACCCCGCCGGCGAACTCCGGCGACGACGGCGCCATGACAACCGTCATCTTCAAGAATCGCCGCCACACCACGCTGTCTCCCCCGACAGGACAACGGGAGAGTTAAACGGATCTGGTGCAACTCATGTGGCATTTAATTCAGGTGGCTGCAGTGCGGGTTGAATAGAGTGAACGGCAGGGGCCTTTGTGCAAAATTGCCAGAGCTGACCGGTCCACCCTGTGAACTGCCACATGGCACGCTCTGATTCGCTGTGGACTAAAACATCACATAGGGTGTCAAGTTTGTGGACTCCTCAGTCACATTTTGCAAGTTTTGAACTAAAACATCACATTTGGAGCAAGTTTGTGGACCTGGGGTGTCATTTTTAACACTACATTAGTGTCAAAAACGTTCTTATATTATGGGACGGAGGGAGTACAAGTTAGAGGCTCTTGAACAAAGTCTAGTACTCTACAGTAACAATCAAAATGTGTTGAGACTTCAAATAAAAATGAGACCGGAGATCATACTTTTAAAGACCGGACTGGACCGAGGAACCGGCGCCTTGCTCGGGTTTTTAACGTGTACTGGTCTTTTAGTAAAAGAAAAACAGAAAAGTATTCAATAAGGAATCTATAAACAATAGATTTAACAGTTAACCTTGCCTGGTTTTTAACTTGTACTGGTATTTAGTAAAAACCCAGAAAAGTATTCAAAAATGAATACATAAACAAGGAATTTAACAGTTAACCTGGAGGCAAGGCTAAAGGCCCAGTAACCAACTAGGCCAACAACACTTTGTAATTTATTAATGGTTTGCATCCAATATTACATGTATTCGTTTGATATATGAGGTCAAACTTTTGAAAAATTGCCTTTTTGGTTTTTGTCGCAAATGAACCAATGAACCTGTGGTCCGACCGGTAAAAACCTGAACCGACAGCCTCACCGGTTTGATTGTCTAAACCATGTCCTCCAATGTACTTCTTCTATCCCAAAATAAGTGACTCAACTTTGTATTAACTTTAGTACAAAGTTGTAATAAGTGTCCCTTTTTGGTTAGATACTGCTTCATTAAGCACTAATGATTTTACCTATCATCCTTCAGGTGAGTTGAGAGCTGTGCTTTCCCCAACGTTAATAGCATTCTGCGAGATAATAGCCAGCAGTAATATCGACGAATGTAGTAAACCATACCTTAAAAGCTAACGACTGAGAGGAAGATGGGAAGCGGCGGAGGAGAATAAACCATAGTTTGATTTTAAAACCAAGCTATAGACCGAGTAGAAAAGAACCGCGAGTACCATAGAATTTCAGCTCACACTTTCAGAAAACTCTATAGTTTTTTTAGGGGAGTATATCAATATGATCTTAATAAGGTGCGGGGCTTTGCATGTGACATTAATTGGGCTTTCCTCTGCAAGAGCCTGCGTCCTAGCCTTTTTGCGCCAAAGTAGATGCTCAAGCGAAACATTCCACTCATTGAAGAAGGGATACAGATATTTCAAGTTCAAGAAGTAGGCATTGATCCAAAAAATGTATGTGAAAATCTAGGCTAAGAGGAATGCATCAGAAGTCTAACGCTCCCTCAACAATTTGAGGCGCCTACCATTAGTATGTTCCATTAAATCTTTTGATATTTTTTAACAAAAAAGGTCATTGACAAATCTCGTTACGACGAATTTAATCTAACGGTGAAAAGGCATTTTTAACCACACCGATAATTTGAGATACTACAGAAAATTTTGAATTTTCAAAACGAGAAATAATCTAGGCCGACATCGGACTCCTTTGCCTGTAGCGCACGCATGAAACAAATAACTAGAATGTTTGGTGGTTCCCTAAAAATCTACTGTTCATCATACTATATCACAATTCATAGATGTGATTACTATTTCATGGTCGATCTTATTATTGCTTTTGCCACTAACGGATTCTTCAACATCAGGAGAACACCCACACAACAAGGTCCGGCGTACACAAACTAACACCTTGGCTGGATGCCGCCTCTCGCCCTCAGCCTCTCCCTGGCGAACTCACCGGAGACCGGCATTCGCCGGTGCCGTGCCGCCACGAAGCCATGCGACCCTTGATCATGTGCCTTCTCTGTCTGGACAGGTTTAGCGGGAGACTCCTCCTGCTGCTGTTGCGGCTCATCGTTCTCAGCGGCCTCCTCCACCGAGCTGCTCCAGCCGAACTCCATCAGGCGCTGCTGGTAGCACTTCATCGCCACCACCAGCATGAACACTGCACAACCATGTCAAACACACACGGTTAACGTTCTTGTCGAAGATTTCTCGCAAAAAGAAAAAAAAAACGTTCTTGTCAAAGATGCCATGCCATGCACGGGTAGAAGAGATTACCAGCCCAGACACGAGCCACCGTGGAGGAGACGTTCCAGACGAGGGTGAAGACGGCTGCGACGACCGCCTTCTTGTGGGAGCAAGACTCCCATGCATCCCTAAACCTCTCCAGCCAAAACTTACCTGCATGCATGGACAGCAAAGCAATTTATAGTAAGTAAATTTACGCAGCAACGAAGGAGCAAATTAATTTCTAGAACATGTCCTTAATTTCATCTGATGTTTCCCTCTTCCTTTATTTCTTTTCTTAGAATGAACTAGGCACCATGGGTTTATGGTTCCTGGTGTCTTATATATTTTGGAGATTCGTATATAGTTGGCCACCATGATGAAGCACACAAGTATAGGTTTTTTTTTAAACTACCGCACACAAGTATAATTGGTTCGATAGAACTAATGTAGTTGGTGTCACTTAGGGAAACGATGGAACTTCATGATATATTTTTCTTCATCTTCGTCTAAACTTTTTCTCATTTGGAAAGCAAAAGAAAAACTTAGGCTTAATGCAATGGTTGGTAGTCAATGGCATCAACTACTAGATCTAGCCAGTATATCGAACTTCTTTGTTGTATATGCCTGAATGGTTATCTGTCCAAAATCTATGCGCACATATATATATGTTTGGACAGTGACAAGCTATCTACCACCTTAACAAATCAGTGAAGTCACTAATGGACTTGATGACTCTGATAGAATCATCATCACAATCAACTTCATCATATGAAACAGTAGGTCACACAACTATAAACTGCTGGCCTGAAGATCTGCGGCGCTCCATGATGGCTCCACTTCCAGCTTCCAGGCAATGCCTCTGGCAGCCGAAGCAGTGGGTTATGGTAAAACAACAGAACATCATTCATAACATACCTAATATTTTAGAGGATCAGCTAGCACTACTATAGATTCATTACTGTTATTGTTGGTCAGAGTTGGTGAATAAACAGGGGCCCTAAGGGCCACAACGGAAGGTGGGGATTAGATCTAGAGAGGTAACGTTTGTTTGGATGGGATCTGAGTGCCAACACCACACATGCAAAAACAGGACAAAGCTAGGAGGAAACTTTCAGTACTGATAGTATATGTATGCATTACCCAAAAAAACATAGTTGAGACTTGAGAGGCCAACATTTTGTGAGTCTAGCTTGGCAGATGGTTGACAAGTATAAGTCACTCCTCACCTGAAGACCCGTGTCATTTGAGTAATAGTTCAGTTAGTGGCCACTTAGTGAGTTTATGTTCAATGGAGTTTACAAGATAAGGCAAAGCTTTTTCAAGAGATAGAAGTTTTATTACCCCGCCCTCTGTGCACCAACTAAACCAAGGGTGCATATATCCAAACCACTAGAAATTCAAATTGCGCTGTCAGTTGCAAAAGCTGACACAACTAAATCAATACTATTTTAATTAACGGTAACATGTGGCAAAGTTTTTCAGTCGCTAAATTAACACATAACGACACCATGATGAGACACGACACTACTGATGAGCCCAATGTCAGCAGTTGGTGAGATTCTTTTCACTTTTCCATACTCTCTCCAACTTAAAAAATAAAACATCTCCTATTTATAAATTTTAAAAAGATGTAAGGTTCTGTTCTCATCCTTCGTCAAACTCTATTTATAAATTTAAAATAAAGCATCTCCTATTTATGTTTCCCCTTACTCTCCCTGTTTCTTTTTTATCTTATCTTTGTTTTTCACCGGTTTTATCTAAAAACCGCCTCAACTGGCCCATCTTTTACCAAATAGTAGTAATACATACTTCTAAAATAAAATCTATTTTTACCCAATCACATTAATATGGAAGGTAGACCACAGGTTAACCTACTGGAATATTGATGCCCCTGTTTGCAACGGGCAATTATCCAGGAAAGAAGAAAAGTACTCCCTCCGTAAAGAAATATAAGAGCGTTTAGATAACTAAAGTAGTGATCTAAACGCTCTTATATTTGTTTACAGAGGGAGTAACAAAGTGTGAGCTACCTGGAGTACAGGCGGACAGCATCTATCGTGCAATTTCACATCTTTGTAGCTTGAGCCACCGCATCAACGACACCTCCCACGTGCAAAAGGTCGAGAAAAATAACCATGCATGCTCCCTCTCCCACGCAAAGTTACCTCTGGGCCTACATAATTTACCTTTTTCCCTTTCGACGGGACATTTTCTCCAAAGCTAAAAGTTACCGAATCAGTATACTGTCTACCCCATCCATGAACCTTGGTCTAGCTCGCCTCTTAATTTATTAGCTAATGCATACTTTTACCAGTAGTTGTGGTTGTTATAGTACGTATTTCTTTAGCTAAATAAGCAAGCACAAGTACCCATATGACAGAATAAGCACGAATATTGGAACTGCGGGGAATCTGCAGGTAATTAATCCACTACTCGTGCTATAGTGGAGTACCATTGGTAGCCTGGTGCATACGCACATGTATACCGGGGGGCATATGTACTAGTAGCTCAAATGCCAACAAATTTACAATCACTATAGTGGAGTACTACCTTGTTTTGATAGTAAAATTCTTCTGTCCTGCTCACAATTTACTCCATCGCACATTAATTTACCTAGTCCTTTACCTATGCACATGCTGCCACTGTACCATGGGGACCAGTAAAAATAGTGTACTACTACCATGTCGCAGTGGACAAAACTTGGATCCAACAACCACAATTCTATTATTAAAAACCAAAGGGGCTATCCCCATGGAAAAATGTAAGGCATACAATAACAGTAAATTAATCCCAATAACGGTTGAAATTCGGCGAGGAACATTTTAGCGAGGTAGTAGGTAAGTTGCTTTGCGCGTGGCATTTTGGTCGAAAAAAATGCGAAGTATAAAAGGAGAGCTTTCGTTGCACTTACCATATCTGGCGAGCTGCGTGGAGTAGGAGGAGCACACCTTGGGAATGGTGAAGATGCCAAAGAACACTGCGAAAACCACCAACGGATCACATCACAGCCACAAAAAAGTCAGTAACAGCGGCACTAGTTGATGCCTGTGGTCCGTCCTAACACTCATATACGACTAAAGCAAGGCTGTGCGCCAGAGAATGCAACCTGCATTTTTCTAAGAAAATGCCCATACATGATTCATTTCCCATTCAGTTTCTGAACATTCGTTTAGATACATGGTAAAATGAGGAAGAGAAGACTAGACAGAGAGAGAAGGATGCGTACCCAGTTTGGCCAGGGTCCAAAGGGTGACAAAGTTACCACACCGGGCCATTGCAAACAGCAGCAACGCCAGCTGCAGCACATGCGTCGCTCTGTCAGTACAAATCTAGAGACGCATGCATGTACTACTATGCCTGTGCTAGCTGGAACGTTCTTTTTTACCTTCATGGTGGTTGCTGGCTCGCCGGAGAAGAGGGACCTGAGGTTCAGGAGCACCTCGTTGACGTAGGGCAGCACAAGCCTCAGCAGCCAGACGGCATCCTCCTCACCTACCAGGTAGTGGGACCTCCCATTATTCGTCTCATCATCACACTCCACACTCTCACCTCTGCAAGCATTTCGACGCAAAGGTGGATTAATTACTACTAATAGTACACAGGGGAAGATTATGCAGGTAAACTAATCTGGGATTTTATTTATTTATTATTACCTGTTGAGTAAGGACTTGCAAAGGAATCTTAGACCAAGGTAGACCAGGCCTAGATACGAAGCCGCTGTTATTGTGCTGTGTGATTGAGAGGTTTTAAAGGAATGCTTAGACAATTTACTGCTAAAATGTTGGTTTATTTGTTTGCCGATTAAGAGTAAGAGTGCAGCAACTTACTTGAAGTTTAGGTCTTTGGCATAGGAGCAGGAGATGAGCGAAAAGGTCCCGAATCCAAACACAAATGCAGACTTTGACACATCTCTCCACATTACCAAATCCACTGAAAAAGACAGTGCCAAAAATAAACTAAGGAAAAGCCATCCAATCTATTTTTTTTTAAACCTGAAAAAAGAGAGTAAAAGCGGCAAGCTGGTACAACATCTAAAGCGTGTAGTACAGCACTAACCAATGTTCTGCATTCTTCGATTGCTTGCGCTAAGAGCTGACGGCCTGCCCTGGATCTCCTCATACTCTTCTTCCTCCTCTTTAGAACCAACAAAAATGCATCGATGATAAACCACCAAATAAGAAGAAGGCCGAGAACTGAGAAGGAACGGCCGGACAGGCAAATGGCACTCACCAGGGGGAGTATCGTCGACAGGCTCTTGCTTCGGGAAATGGCGGCGGATTACCGGCGAAGCTTTCTTCTCTGAACAACACCAATAATGTCTCTTATTTGAAGTAGGCGATTGACATTAACTCGGGAAATGCAAATTGCATTCCGAATTTCTCTTGGAAAATTCGCAACAAGGTTACCTGGAGAAGTTCTTGCCGGCTCTGGGTCCGTCCTGTGAATTACCACCGGAGTCGGTTTCTTCTTCACTGCATTTTGGGACGACCGAGAAAGCAAGTCAGGAAAAATGGACTGAAAATTCACATGAATTCGCACCGTTCTGCATCCAGGGAGGAGAAATTCACCTGCAGGGGTCATGGGCTCTGGGTTCATCGCCCGGAGGTTGACAGCGGCAGCAAGTTTCGTCGGCTCTGGGTTGAGTGCTCTCTCATCTTCAATCGGTGCTGCCACAGGCCTGATCGCTCCTGCACTTGCACAGATAATCCCACCATCACAAGACAAGAAGAATTGCCAAATCGAGAACGAAAAGGAAAAAAACAAAGGCAAAATCCGAATTTGCTCTCACTTTTTGTCGGTGGCGCAAGATCTTGTTCGTCCGCTGCAGCATGACGCCAAATCAAGATCGCATTTGCAAAATTGGTTCATCAAGAAAGGAATCAGACGGAAACAATCAACGAATTTATTTCTTGCCTTGATTCGGAGCAGTCGCCTGATCAGTTTCGTCCTCGTCAATGGCCGTCTGATCTTGATCTAGCACCTCCTTCTCCTCCTCCTCTGCTTCCAGCTCTTCTTCCCACTCCTCCTCCTCCTCCTCCTCTGCCTCCTCTTCGATGTTCTTGGGTTGCGGCAATGGCGCCTGTTCCACCTCCACCACCACCACCTCCTTCACCTCGGCCGCCAGCTTCTTCTCCGGCGTGGTGACCCTCGCCACCGCCCGCTTGGCCACCGCCCCCGTCGACGCCGCGTCGGAGCGCGACTTGCGCAGCTCCCCGATCGCCGTGACCGGCTCCGACGCCTTCCAGTTCCTCCTCTTCTTGGCCGCCGCAGCCGTGCCGGCGCCCGCGCCCGCGCCGCCGCCGTCGCTTTGATTCCGTCGCAGGCGGCTGTACACCCGCATGCCCTCCTCGTCGGCGTCGTCGGCGCCTTCGCTGAAGACCTTGACGCCGCCCTTCACCTCGTCCATCTCCATCCGTGTCTCCCACACCGACGCCGCCGCGGGAGACCGCCTCGGCACCGTGAGGCGCCTTCTCGTGCTGGGCGTGGCGGCCCCCGGCTGTTGCATTCTTCTAGATTAGCAGCTCTGAGCAGCTCTGCCGTGGTGTCTGTGCTCTGCTAGTGCTGTCGTCACTAACAATTCCCCCTTCTCCCCTCTGCTCTGCTCTGCTCCGCCTGGTTGCTCGCACTGCCTTGCTCTGCACTCTCTCTCTCTCTCTCTCTCTCTCTCTCTCTCTCTCTCTCACTGTATGAGTCTCCAGTGTGTCAGAAAGAGGGGTCGTGAGGGTGCAGGGGAGCTCACTCTGACGGTGGTGCGTGGGTTGGCCGTGGGCGTGGGCGGACAAGAGCAGCTCGATCTGGTCGGAGGAAGCAGGGGAAGTGATGCGTGCGGTGCGGTGAAGGGATCGAGCAGTTGAAAAAGATGAGATTTGGTCTGACGTGGTGGGCTCCTGCTTAAGCCCAACGTGGTGGTGAAGGGGCCGGAGAGGTGAGCCTTTGGTGTGGTGAGTGACACAGACTGGTAGTGCCAAATCATTACGGGCGTGTTTGGTTGGCGTGCGCTACAGTACCCGCATTGAATATACTTCTCCATCCAACCTGGCTATGCAAATGCAGCCTCAAATGCACCATATGCATATTGTTTGGTTGCCTGCATGGCCTCTTGCCTGCATGGGCAGAACCACACTGCCTGGTGTTTGGTTGCCTGCATGTTAGTGGACAAACCCAAGGCATGGTGTTTGGTTGTATGCAACGCCTGATGTGTGGTAACCTCTTTGGCTAGTTGGTGATGTTACCACCACACTTCGGCAGCACAGATCATAAGCACAACAGAGTATAAACAGAGCATCAACTAGCATAATTCAGATATAAGCAGTACCACACTTCATAACAGTCCAACGCATAAACCATAAATATGTTCAAAGCAGACTTGATAGTACGCTCGAAAGAGGTGGCCCGGCCCTACTCCTTGGTGGCGAAGGCTTTGTCATGCTTCCCGCACTTGTTGACTACCTCAATGCCATCGTCGTTGAAGATGATGACCTTGAGGGTGTATGGAGTGAGGAGTTTGAACGCCACCATGTAGCCGATCTTGATCTGATGAACGGCTGCGTAGGTGGCCCAACCCTGATCCAGGGTCACCCTGCCGTTCATCAGCTTGACCGTCACCTTCCAGGAGCAGTCGGTGTTGTTCCTGAGCTTGAACTCCGTCGGCACCGCGACGAAGTGCTTGGTGAAGTCCAGGGGCATGGGGATGCACTCAAGCTTCGATGCAAGGATGACCTTGCAGAAGTGAGTTGGGCCATCCTCCTGATGGTAGTGGCCGTAGTTGCGGCGCTTGTTGCTGGGGGGATCCTCCATGCCCTCGGCGTCGCCACCCTCAGGCGTCTTCGGGTCTTCCTCGGCGGCGGGCGGCAGTTCAACCTCGTCGGGCATTGGGTGAAGGGGTTGCTTGCCCTTGTTGTCAACGGCCGGGAGCACCTCCGTGCCCATCTCATTGCTCTCCTCAATCTGCACACAATTCATGGAGTCAGGCACTGCACAGAGTTCATGGCTAATTGAAGAGCTTGTAGTTAAAACGGCATATGACTGTCACTCTTCTCCTCCTCTCCATCCCCCCTATATTTACTCACCCTGCCCACCACTACTTACCCACCCCCTCTCTTCTCTCACTGTCAACCTTCCTCCTCCCCATCGCCATGAGCTCTAGCTCCAGCTCCAACGCCAACCCCTTCCCTTAGGGTATTGGCTGGAGGGCCTTCTTCCTCGGGTGGTCGGCTGGTGACCGCACCAAGTTCGAGAACACCATGGAGGTGTGCTCAAACTTCGGCTCCATGCCGGACATGTAAAACGAATCTAATGCAGTGCTCATGAAGGCCACTAAAGAAGAGATGAAGACACTGATTCCTGACCCAGCGCAGGGCGCGATGGCAGTTGACATCATTCGCTGGGCCATGAATCAGGCCATTTCCGACGACGCTAAACAGAGGAAGAAGTGGTGCAAGTACAAGACCTACTGGGCTCCTAATGACCGCCGTGCCATAGTGTACTGGGAGACGGCTATCGCGCCGCCGGCGGTCATTGACGGGGAGCCTAATGAGGAGGAAGAAGAGGCGGTGCACATGCCAGCTAGGGCGCCGGAGCCAGGCCGTCCTACCTGGCAGATCGACCTCGACTCCGCCGAGGACGATGAGGATGACCTGCCGGCCCGCACAACGATGAAGAAGAAGATGAAGGCCAGCGGCTCGACCAGCCGCTCCGCACGCCGGTGACGGCCGCCGCGGTCAGCCAGTGTCCGTTGTGTACCCCCTATCCCCCTATTCCCCTATCCCCCAATCCCGAAATCCACCTTTTGCATTCCGATCTTGCATGTATGAACTCGTATGAACTGCTATGAACTAGTATGAATTACTCCTATGCTTATCTATCTCTATTCCCCATTCCCATCCGCCGTGGATCGAATCTATGCTGTGGATCAAATCAAGCGTGCATGTCGAAGAGAGAGAAGTGCTTACCGCCATTGATGGAGTCCGGTGGTCTTATTTCTCTGCACCGATCCGCCGTCGCCGGTGATGGAGTCCGGTGTTCTTCTTCCTCTGCTCCGATCCACCACCGCCAGTGAGAGTTAGGAGAGTGGGGAAGAGTGGGGAGAGGGAGCAGTGGCCGGTGAGGCTAATAACTGCCGGTGCTTCGGGAAGCAACGCGGCTTCTCGAGCGTGAACGCGCGCGTGCAGCCGCGCCCGCCCACGTGCACCGCTCGGGCCTGGCCCTGGAGAAACTGCCGATTCGTGTGTTCCCAGTGAGCTAGGCCCAGAGGTGCTTTAACAAGCGTGCGATGCACATCCAATAGTGTATGCGGGCTACCAAACAGGCTGAACCCTTCCCGCGCGGGCCTGGTTGGACCTTATGCGGGCAACCAAACACGCCCTACCTACCTCAGCTCGCCGCCACGTTGATCCCCTCACGAAACCTGGTCGCCACGTCACTTCGCCTCGCTCCCAGTAGCCTGCGCACCAGTGCTCATGCCAACTCCAGCGCACGACCCCAAATGGACATCCGTTTTGTCCGGTTCTATCCGTTTGGAGCGGCAATGGGTTAGCCCAAGTCTGTTTGAGGCCGTTGCCTTGTCGGTGCGTCCAACACGCAGCCACACCCCAAATCATGTCCGAGATGGGCTTGATATAATATTTTTTGCAAAACTCAAATAAATGCTGGAAAAAAATAATAATACGCAAACATAAATGATTAGAACATAACTAAACATTATAGTCTTCACGGCCTCCATAGTACTTAGCACATAATTAACATAAAAACTAAAACAAAAGACAAGCGCCGCCTGTCGATACCGTGCCCATCGTCGTGCCCGTCGATGCCATGCCCTTTGCTGTCTCACGCGTCGCCATTGTCGACGTCGCTAGTGAGGTCGATGTAGGGCGGCGGCGTCCAGAGGTGGGACGGTGGTCCCTGGAAGGTGGGAGGCGCCTACACCACCTCCCCCGTGGCGACGGCTCACGCTCCGGTGACTGCAGCGGTGTGGGGCGCCAGTTCATGCCCCACACGACATCGCCCATGTCCGTGGCCGAGCACGACCAGCTCCACCGTTGGCCCACTAGGCCTGGGTGGAATGCGACGACGGGCTGCTCCTCCAGCACCTCCTCCTAGACCTCGTCCTTGACGTCCATCATCTCCAGCTCCACCACGGCCACGTCGCCGGTCGCAGAGAGGGCCAGCATGGTGTCTAGGCCCTCCCATTGGCACTAATCGTGTGTGTTCATGGAGTCTTCTAGGACACGTTGAATGAGCCGGGCCTCCTCCTCCTCTGTCATGCGAGGAGGTGGGTGGCGACGGAAAAGGTGAAGGCAACGGTGTGATGCCGTGCACCGCGTATGCCAGTGCACCTGGGAAGGGTCGGAACACGCGCTCGGCACTCTGTAAGTGGCCACCGCGGGCCCGATGAGCTACCAGCAAAGTAGGACGCGTGTATGTTGTCGTGCTCGTCCCGGAACCAAGTGTCCCACAATGCGTTGTCGACAGCGTACCTGGGGTCGTAGTACATGTCGCCAGGCAGGAGGCGGCGGCGGCGTTCGATCTCCTCGCGGCGGGCACGACTGCTCATCGGGACCGGCGGGATGGGCACCCAATCCGCAGACAGATGCCAGTTATTGGGCAGGTGAATGTCGCTCCAGGGGAGCGGCATCTTGGTTTCCCAATAACGCTGGCAAACATCCGCGTATGTAGTGCCGGTCGCGCTCGCTGGCGGCCGGAGGGGCGATGCTAAATGCAGGCGACGCGGGACCCTCCGTGGGGGTCGTGCGTGCTCTGATTTGACGGTGCGGTGGCGGCGGCCGGAGGACGAACTAGCCTCGTGGTCGTGCGCCCCCTGCCGTCGGTGCTCCACCGCACCATGGCTCCTGGCGGCCGGCGAGCTCGAGAAAGAGGAGGGGAGAACTAGGGTTTGGGTGTCGAGTTTCGAGGAGGTAGCATGACTGGAGTGGGAGCATAGATTGCGACCGGTCGATGACTTCCCATTAAGAAGGACGGCGACCGCTCGCCTGGGCAGATGATAGGTGGGGCCGACCGCATGTGCGCAGTAAATTTGGGCGATGGGAGGTAGGTGGCTGCCTGCCACGCGGCCCCGATCGCTTCTGTTCCCTGTCCGCCTGGACCCAAACCGGGCGCATGTTTGCGCTAGAATGGGTCGGGCCGGACACAAAACGGACCAGATGGGTTCAGACGATCGCGTGCTGGGTCGTGGGGTTTGTCCGTTTCGCCCCAAACGGACGGGGTCGGACGGGATAGGGTCATGCGCTGGAGTTGGCCTCACGTCCCCCATCACCGGCGCACGGCGCCAATAGGATAACGCGCTCGTTTCTAGGAGCACCGGGCACCGCCGCCACCAGGCGGCAACATTTCGTGTTTTGATCCTTTTGCAGAAATTTTCGTGTTTTGATCATTTTGCGCTAGTTTAGCCGGACCTGACCCTGATTGCAAAAAAATTGGGATTTGACTCTTTCTACTACCACTACTATCACAGGCGGTAGTTTCTCACAGCCTATCGCTGACCGACCT